CGAGGAAGCACAAGGAAGCACAAGGGATCTCCCTGGTGCAGGTGGGATGAGGGGCTGTGGGATAAAGCGCTGCCTCCCACCCCAGCAAACCCCCGCTCCGCTGCTCCGTCCCCACTTCCCGGTGCCTACCTTTGCCCCGGGAGCTGTACAGGGAGTTTTCCTCCATGGAGAACTCTCCGTTGGTGCCCAGTGAGCTCTGAGGGCCATCCCTGCCCGCTGCCTGCTCCTCCCTGCTCCTCTGCCCGGGAGAGAGCGGCCGGTGAGCGAGGGCAGAGTGTGGCACGGACACCTTAAACTCTACATGATATAAAATCTCAGCATGGCTCTTTCAGCCCTTTTTAGCCAAGCACCTTTGGTACAAGACGTCTGAAATTGTTCTTTGACACTTCTTGTCAAGAATTCGGGCGGACAAAGGTTTGAGTGAGGTGAAAAAAAACGCCTTTATCGGGAAAAATGTGCTCGGAATGAGCCATAACAGGGGCACCCCGTTGGATATGGCCAAGCCAAAACTACTCAGAAGCCTCGAAGCCGTTCCAAGGGGGGCAGAGATGATGAGGGTGGCGAGGGCTGGGAGGAAAGCTGGTGGTTTCAGGACCACTGACTCAAATTTGGGAGGCGTGGCGAGGGTGGGACGGTGGGAGGGATGGTTTTGGGGATGGGTGTGACCAACGAGGCAACGCCCAGATATCACAATTAGATATTGTGTTAGATATTACGTTGATATAATGTTGTCATAAACATCATAAAGGCCTCTGCTGTGTGTGTGTGCAACCAAAGAGCTGTTTCCTGCCTTCCTACACTCAGAACAGCCCAGAGAACTATTTCCCCCATTTTAAAGGCAACCAACATCCCCACGGACCCCCCACCCCAGGGTACCCCGGTTTTCCTACCGGGAATGCCAGCTTGCACAGCCTCTGGATCCCCAGTCACACTGACACCCCCCCACCCCGGGGGATCCCAGTTTTCCTACCAGGAACACCAGCTCGCACAGCCTCTGGATCCCCTGTCATACCAACACCCCCACAGACCCTCCCCACCCTGGGGTATCCCGGTTTTCCTACCAGGAACACCAGCTTGCACAGCCTCTGGATCCCCAGTCACACCGACACCCCCCCACCCTGGGGTATCCCGGTTTTCCTACCGGGAACGCCAGCTCGCACAGCCTCTGGATCCAGTCGGCCGCCTCGGCGCCATCGGCAGCCAGGAGGAAGCGCCTGTCCGTGGTCTCCAGCAGGAAGGGGACGGTGTCCCTGGGGCAGGTGGCATCGCCCCCCGCCTCGGCCACGTGCACGCAGTCGCTCAGCCGGACCAGCCTCTTGCTCCCCTCGGCCTTCCGGGCCTTCTCCCCCGGCCCCGAGCCCTCCAGCAGCTCCAGGCGGGCTGTGGAGCAGGAGCTCTCCCGGTACAGGACGCCCCAGAACTTCTTCCACTTCTGCCACGGGGAGAATCTACTTCAGAGATCATGACTTACACCCAGACATCATAAGGACCAGCCCCAATATTCCTAAATAACAGGCACGTCCGGATCACAATTCAGCTGACCTTTGGTTGGTTGTAAAGTGTTCTTTTGAAATATTTTCAGTCCAAAGAGCCAGAATATGAAAGAGCTGCTGCATCTTGCAGAGGTGGGTTTTCTCGCCCTCCTTCCCGGGAGTTTTTATTCCCTCGGGATCACACGAGAAGCCCTCTGGGGTCTGGGTGGGGTTTTTGCACCTCTGGACTGACCAGAGGTAAACTGGGGTTTAAATATCCCTGGATGAACATCCCTGAGGCACAGCAAGGCTTTTCCAGCTGGGAAAGGCACCAGCAGCATCCCATCCTCGCCCTTGCCCAGCATCCAGATCCACCCCCCTGCTACTGAAGGGCTTCCAGCTCCTTGTTCCCTCCATTTTCCCGGAAATACCAGCTTTTAAACGATTCCCAGCTCGCCCCCATGGAGCAGCAATTCGGGGCTCATGGGGGATGGGAGGCCCCAGTGTCAGAGGGGAAGTGGGGACAGAGGAAGTCCTGCACCCAAACCAGCATATCCTCCACGGCAGCTCCTGCTCCGGGGCCTGCTGGGCCCCCAGGATCCGACAAAACACAGCTCCCTTTCCCTGGGATGGGATGTTGGGATCCACGCTGGGGTGGCCTCTGTCCTGTTCTGTCTCTCCAGCACTGCAGGCACCGTGTGCTCCTGCCTTGCCCCGGGGAGGGGATGCCCTGACTGCCCTGCCTGCACCCTGCCCGCCCTGCCTGCACCCTGCCCGCCTTCCCTGCCCTTCCCATAGCATTTGGATCCCCTTTGGAGGGTGTCCACGGGGAACGAGACCAGGGAGCAGAGCTGGAGACGCCCATGAGCTCCTTCCCCTTTGGGAGCTGTTGCCAAACCCCGAGTTTATCAGGCACGGAAGCAGAGAGGCTTTGGGGGTTGCATCAGTCACCCAATGCAGGCCTGGGGGTCACACCCGTCACCCCCTGGCTTTGGGGGTCACATCAGCCACCCAGTGTGAGTCTGGGGGTCACATCAGCCTCCCTGTGTGGGTCTGGGGGTCACATCCATCACCCAGTGTGAGCCTGGGGGTCACATCAGCCTCCCTGTGTGGGTCTGGGGGTCACATCCATCACCAAACACAGGTTTGGGGGTCACGTCTGTCACCCAACACGAGACTTGGGGTCACATCCGTCACCCCCTGGCTTTGGGGGTCACATCAGTCACCCTGTGTGGGTCTGGAGGCCACACCCATCACCCAACACAGGTTTGGGGTCACATCCCTCACCCCCCAGCTCTGGGGGTCACATCCCTCACCCCAGGTCACACCAGCCACCCCCTGGCCCTACAAAGTGTCCCTGGCACCTTCCGTCCCCCTGCCCGTCCCCACCGTGCCCACGGGGAGCTCACGGAGGAGCCAAGGGCTGGGAGCACCCAAATCCCTTTGGATCCCACCCCTCCGAGCCCCCCCGTGCCCCCCACACCCCCTCACCTTGCCGAAGGTCTGCTGGAGCTGGAGGTAGATCCCCCCTTGTTTCACCACCGCCTCCTCCATCCTCCCACCTCCGGCATCCTCCGGTGTGTCCCACCGTGTCCTCCCGTGTCCCACCGTGTCCCTCAGTGTCCCACAGCTCCGGGGGGGTCCTGTCAAGGCCGTGTGTGTGTGTCCACCCCCTCCCCTCTCTCTGTGGTGTGGGGGCCGGGCGGGCTCAGCACGTGACGTGTGGTTTGGGTTCTGCTGCTTCCTCTGCTCGCGACGGTTTCCTGTGGCCCCGAGAGACCCACGAGGGGCTGGGGGGACAGGGATGGGGGACAGGGCTGGGGGACAGGGATGGGGGACAGGGATGGGGGACAGGGATGGGAGGCAGGGCTGGGGGACAGGACTGGGGGACAGGGATGGGGGACAGGGATGGAGGATAGGGATGGGGGACAGGGATGAGGGACAGGGATGAGGGACAGGGATTGGGGACAGGGCTGGGGGGACAAGGATCAGGGACAGGGCTGGGGGACAGGGCTGGGGGACAGGGATGGGAGGCAGGAATGAGGGACAGGGATGGGGGACAGGGATGGAGGACACATGGACAGCTGGACACACCCATGTGCTACCCCCTGGCACCGGTGCAGGACACTGGGAATTCCCACCATGGCCCTCCCTCGGTTTTCCCTCCTGGAAAAGGGTCCAGAGGGTGTCCCAGGGGTGTCCCAGTGGTCCCAGTGCCCTGCGCCCAGTTCCTCCCACCAGTGGCCTCCAGTTAGCCCAGCCCAGCCCAGCACCAGCGTCCCAAGTTACTCCAGCGCCTGCACGCCAGTGCTCCCAGTTAACCCAGCCAGGGACAGGTGCCCAGTGGGTAGAGACGGGAGGCAGGGACAGAGCTGGGTCAACTGGGAGCACTGGTGTGCTGGGTACTGGGAGCACTGGGAGTGCTGGTGATGGGCACTGGGAGCACTGGGAGCACTGGTGCAGGGGCTGCTGGGGCATGAGGCCTGTCCCTGGGCCGGGGTAATTGGAGGCTACTGGTGCAGGGCACTGGTGCAGGGACGTGGTAGCACTGGGGGCACTGGTGTCACTGCTCTCACTGGTGTCCCTGGTCATCCCGGTGTCACTGGTGTCACTGGTGTCCCTGGTCACACTGGTGTTCCTGGTCTCACTGGTCACACTGATGGCACTGGTCTCACTGGTGTCACTGGTCACACTGGTGTTACTGGTGTCACTGGTGTCACTGGTGTCCCTGATCTCACTGGTGTCACTGGTGTCACTGGTGTTACTGGTGTCACTGGTGTCTCTGCTGTCACTGATGGCACTGGTCTCACTGGTGTCCCTGATCTCACTCGTGTTCCTGGTCACACTGGTGTCACTGGTCTCATTGGTGTCCTTGCTTTCACTGGTCTCACTGGTCTCACTGGTCTCACTGGTGTCAGTGGTCTCACTGCTGTCGCTGGCGCCCCTGGTCACACTGATATCACACCGGTGTCCCCGGTGTGTCCCCGGCGTGTCCCCGCGGGTGCGCGGCCCCTTTAACCCCCGTGTCAACAAACCCCCCCCTTCCTCCTCCTCCTCCCTCCGCCAGCGTCATGACGTCACACGCGCCGCGCCGCGCGCAGCCTCCGCGGCGTTGGGTGGGCGTGGCCTGCCCAAATACGGGGGGGGGCACGTCCAAAATACGGCGCGCGCAGGCTCGGAGAAGGGGGCGTGGCTTTTACCTGGGGAGGTGCGGCTTGAGCGGCGCGCGGGGAGGGGGGCGTGGTACGTCCGTTTTGGGGGGGGGCGTGACCCGCTCTTTCGAGGGGGCGCGGTCTGCCGCTTGGGGGGGCGTGGCCTGTCCCTCTGAGGGACATTATCTGTACATTGTGGGGGCGTGACCTGTCCTCGGAGGGCGTGGCCTATCCCTCGGAGGGGGCGTCGCCTCGTCCGCGGAGGGGCTCGGCCCGCCCCCCCTTGGTGGGCGTGGCCCCCGGGCGGCGGTGGGCGTGGCCGCGCCTGCCCGTGCCCCGCGCGGCGCATGCGCGTTGCGCGCGGCGGCGCGGGGCGGACGCGGCGGGTCCGGGCCCGGCGCAGCGGGGGCGGAGGCGCGAGCGGAGCATGAATGGGGCAAGATGGCGGATCATGTGCAGGTGAGGGCGGCGGGGGGGGGGGGGGGCACCGGAGGGGGGATCCCCGCATCGCGCACACGCACACACGGGCGCGCACATACGCGCGCACAGAGGGGACCTGCCCGCCGCACACACCGCCCGCTTCCCTCCTCCTCCTCCTCCCCCCCCCCCCCCCCCGCGCGGCCCAGCCCAGCCCCGGCACGGCCAGGCCCGGCAGGCCCCGCGCGCGGCCCAGGCGGCGGCGGCGGCACAACAGGCCCCGCGGCCGAGGCGTCCCTCCGTGTGTCCCGCCGACCCTCCGTGCGGCCCAGCGTGTGCCCCCCCAGCCCCGCCGTGGCCCCGCCGTGTCCTCGCCCCGCGTACCCCCGGCTCGCCCCGCCGTGTGTCCCCCCCCGTCCATCCTTGTGTCCCCGCGATCCTCTGTGTGTCCCCCCGGCCCTCCGTGTGCCCCCGGCACCCTCCGTGTGGCCCGCCGTGTCCCCCTCATCCCCGCCGTGTCCCCACCGTGTGTGTCCCCCGGCTCACCCCGCCGTGTGTCCCCCTGACCCTCTGTGTGTCCCCGCGTCCATCCGTGTGTCCCCCCGTGTCCCACCCCGATCCTCCGTGTGTCCCACCCTGTGTATTGCCAGTTCCCTCCTCCGTGTGTCCCCGCCGTCCCCCCATCGATCCGTGTGTCCCCCCATCCATCCGTGTGTCCCCCCGTGTCCCCACCGTGTCTGCACCCCCATCCTCACCTTCTGTCCCCCCGTGTCCCCCCATCCTCTCCATAATGTCCCCGTGTCCCCACCGTGTCTCCCTCCCATCTCCCTGTCCCCTCTCTGTGTCTCCCCCATCCCTGCCATGTCCCCCCCAGATCCCTTTGCCCCCTCTCCCAGCTGGCACTATGAGGCTTTGCAGCATTCCTGGTCAGGAAATATTTGGGAAGAGGACAACTCAGATCCTGCTTTTCCCCCTGGAAACCCAACACCCCGTCCCTGTGCCCCTCTCCCAGGGTTTTAGAGTTGGTCCCACTGTTGGGATTCCCATCCTTGCGGGGATCCTTGGGATCCCTGGCTGTGTTTGGTTTGTTTTCCAGCTGTGTGGGAGACTTTGGAGTGTGGGTAAAGGGTTTTAATGGGCGTTGGAAATGAAACCTGGCGTGGAGAAGTTCGTGGTGCTGGAGCCAGGAGGGAAATCAGGGGTGGCAGTGGCTCCCAGGGTGGTGTGGAGGGACCAAAACCCCTCTGAAAGGGACCAAAACCTCTCTGAAAAGAACCAAAACCCCCTGAAAGAACCCAAGCCTCCTCTGAAAGGACCCAAACCCCTGTGAGCAGACGAGAGAGCCTCTGAAAGGGACTCAAAAACCATTTGAAGGGAACTAAAACCCTTCTGAAGGGGACCAAACCCCTCTGAAGGGACCCAAAAACCCTCTGAGGGGGCCAAACCCCGTTGTGAAGGACCCAAAACCCTGTGAAAAGGCCCCAAAAAGCTTCTGCAAGGGCCCAAACCCCCCGAGGAGCCGCTGCTGTCGCTGTGAGGGCCAGAAAAAGTAAAAATAGGTGCAGCTGGGGGTGTTTTTGCATAATATTTTGGTTGAGCTGGCGCTGGATTTGCATAGTGGCCAAAAACCTGGATAAACTGTAATGGCTGGGAGTTATTTATTATCTCTGCAACTTTTTAAATAAATATATTCCCCACTTGCTCCCCCTGTGAACCACAAGGGTGAGCAGTTTATTAACTCAGGAGGGAAACCTGGGAGGGTGTTGGGAAATGTTTCCTGGGTGATCCCAGGGGAGGACAGGGATTGCTGCATTGCTAAACACGGTTTTCCTGGGAAAAAAAACACCAAAAACCTGATTTTGGTGGAGCTTTACCTTCCTGGGACTTGTGGTTTAGACACTGAGCTGCTCCAAAACTGCTTGAAATGCCGGGTTTTCCTTGTGAAACGTTGGATTGAGCTGGTGGAAGTTGGAGCTGCGGGAACAGGGTTGGAATTTCTGTGTCCAGCGTGGTTAAAGTTTAACAGCAGGGCTTTGGGAGATGTTCCACGGGAGGGGAAAAGGGGGTTGGAAATGGATTTAAAGCACCTGCAGCTCCAGGAGCTCCTGAACGGGATAAATGGAGCTGGAAATAGTGGTGGGGCTGGAGCTGGAGCTGGAAGGGGGTGTGGAATTGTCTCTGGAAGGGGCTCAGAGTGACAGAGGGGAGGGTTAGGTTGGATTTTGGGAAGGGCAGGGACACCTCCCACTAGCCCAGGGTGCTCCAACCTGGCCTTGGACACTTCCAGGGATCCAGGGGCAGCCACAGCTTCTCTGGGAATTCCATCCCAGGCCCTCACCACCCTCCCAGGGAAGAATTCCTTCCCAATATCCCATCTAACCCTCTGGCAGTGGGAAGCCATTCCCTGTGTCCTGTCCCTCCATCCTTTGTCCTCCGTCCCTCTCCAGCTCTCCTGGAGCCCCTTTAGGCCCTGGAAGGGGCTCTCAGGTCTCCCTGGATCTCTCCCTTCTCCAGGTGAACCCCCCCAGCTCTCCCAGCCTGGCTCCATCACTGATATTCCTTAGGCATAAAATGTTAGGAAAAGGAAGAAGAGCTGCTGGTCTGTTCCCAGAGCTGTGAGCTGGAGAAGGGAAGGTTTAGGTTGGGATACTGAGAAGGAATTCTTCCCTGTGATGGCAGTGAGGGGTTGGGATGGAATTCCAGGAGAAGCTGTGGCTGCCCCTGGATCCCTGGGAGAGTCCAAGGCCAGGTTGGAGCAATTGGGATAGTGGAAGGTGTCCCTGCCCATGGCAGGGGGTGGAATGGGATGAATTTAAAGTCCCTTCCAACCCAAACCGCTCAGTGATTCCATGATTTTTTTCCCTCCAGGCAAAAGCTGCAGCTCTGGGTTTTCCTGCAGAGAGCAGAGTGTGACATTCCCTCCCAAACAGGGAATTTTGTGGCTGCTGGAAGTTGTGGGTTAATCAATAAATGAAATTATTGGTGAGGGCTCTTCCCAGAGCCCAAAACTCTGGATTTGGGACACTGACCCCCCGTGTCCCATCCCAAAAGCTGTGGGATTATCCGGTGCCACGGGGAGATTCCCACCCTCAGTGGGTGATGGAGAGGGCTGTTTCCATGGAATATGCCTTGGAAGTGGGCCTTGGTTTAGTGGGAACAGGCCTTTGGAACTTCTGGAGTTGTACTATCATTATTTTGTAGGGATTTGGACCAGGTGAGATGAAGCTCCAAACCATTTTTTAGAGATTTGCACTTGGTGTCATGAAACCCAGACCCATTTTGGGGGGATTTTTACCTGGTGTGGCGAAGCCCAGAAATACTTTTTTAGGGCTTTTTGCTGCTGTGGCAAAACCCAAACCCATTTTTTGTGGGTTTTACCTGGTGAGATGAAGCCAAAATCCATTTTTTATGGATTTTACCTGGTGAGATGAAGCCAAAATCTGTTTTTTGTGGATTTTACCTGGTGAGATGAAGCCCAATCCCATTTTTATGGATTTTACCTGTTGTGTTGAAGCCAAAACCTATTGTCTGTGTATTTTACCTGGTGTGGTGAAGCCCAATCCCATTTTTCCTGGGCTGTATCCCAGCTAAAGTTCTTTACTTTTCCACGTGGAGCAGCAGAAAACGATAAAAGACAAACTTTTAAGGGCACAATGAACCAGAATATCACGTTTTCATCTCCAAAAAATTAGGAATTATGAGAATTATGAGTGACCTCCCCCAGATTTTGGTGGGAATTGCGTGCCTGGAGCTGGCTGTGGTGCTTTCCCAGGGAACAAAGGATGCAGTGACAGGGATGCAGGAGCAGGAGGAATCAGATGATCCGGGTGGCTGCAAAGAAAACCCCTCCAGCAAATTGTTCCACACCAACTTTCCCACTTAAAAAAAAGCTCTTTTGACCTCCCTGGGAATTGATATTTTGGGCTTTTCCAACTCCAGTTGTTCCTTCTGGGAGCAGGGATGGGGAAAGCAGGGAAGTGTCATCACTCTGGGGGCAAAAATGAATCCCATTCCCACTTTTTTCCCCCTCTGGACACAGATTTCTCCCATTTTTGCTGCTTCTTCCACTTCCTTAAATGTTTTCCGTGGCTATTCCTGGGGGAGAAGGTCTGTGGTGGGATGAGGATGGATTTTGGGATTGTGTTGGGTGTTTAATTAGAATTTTAACAACCATCCAAGTGATTAAAAATTGTCACTTTTGGGTTTTTATCATTGGCTGTGCTCAACTTGGCTCCAGGTGGGGAGAAATTTGGGATGCTGAGAGGTAACAGGATGTCCTGGAAAGCTGAAACAGGAGAAATTTGGGATGCTGAGGGGTAACAGGATGTCCTGGAAAGCTGAAACAGGAGAAATTTGGGATGCTGAGAGGTAACAGGATGTCCTGGAAAGCTGAAATGGGAGAAATTTGGGATCCTGAGGGGTAACAGAGTGTCCTGGAAAGCTGAAATGGGAGAAATTTGGGATCCTGAGAGGTAACAGGATGTCCTGGAGGGATTTAAATTCCATGAATGTGGCACCTGGGGATGGTCAGAGATGGGGAACAACTGGACTCAATCTTGGATGTCTTTTCCAGCCTTAATTCCCTGATTTTCAGGCAGGTGCTGAGGTAGAGAAGTCAGGAATCTGGCATCCTAAAAGGGAATTGTATCCCGGTTTTTGCTTCCACACCATCTGATTTTAGGGTGTTTCCAATCCCAGAATTTTCCAACCTTTCCCTCCCCGGGCTTGGAATCTCCTTTGTGCTGTTCCCACATGCCGAGGGGACACGATTGTTTTTCCCAGACCCTTTCCCAAAGCAATTCCTTCCCCAATCCCTAATTTTCCCCATTTCTTGCATGTTTCTGAATTATTCCAAACGATCCTTTTTTGTTTCTTTGTTTGGCTTTGGGGGAATCCATAACATTCCTCTTGCTCCAGAGGAAACCCTGGAGACCAGGATCCATGGGGAAGTGCTGCCTGACTGCAAATGACTTCAAATCCCTGATTTTTTATTTCATTTACTTCCAGCTTTTTCCCCTTCCCCGTGTCCCTGAAAACTTCCA